ATGTTTAAACAGTATTGCAGTTTAAAAAAATATTTAAAAGTTGCTATTTGCAGAAAATTCTTGTAATCATATTTATTATTCACAGGGATAAATTTTTATAAAATTTCAACGTGTTCTTTAGTGAAATCCCTTTTTATTTGTAAAATTACTCAATAGTATTTCAACTTGAAATATTATTGCCAAAATAAATATATACTTTATTTACAGAATGGTAAATTACCTGGCCTTGTATAGTGCTTTATCAAGTCTAAGGACTTTACAGTTATTCACCCATTCATACATACATTCACACACATAGTGGTAAACTACACTGTAGCTAAAGGTGCTCTGGGGCACACTGACAAAGGCAAGGCTGCCATGCACCAGCACCAACGGACCCTCTGACCACGACTAGCAGGCAAGTTGTGCCCAAGGACACAACTGGGATGGACAGAGCAGAGGTTCGAACCTGTAACCCACTGGTTACAGGACAACTCCCCTTACTCTTGTTGTCACTGTCAAAAAAAAAAGTCTATGGCTGTGTTTCAAATTGCAGCCCATGTTGACTGCAGCCCACAGAATCCACACCCGTCACAGTGCGGGTAGGATGCATAAAACGGCTGTGAAAGGAGGTGGTCCAGTCAGATGACGTGTGTTTTTATGACTACCCTGTTACCATGATGTTACGTTTTATATCACATGCCTTCAGTTGGAACTGGTATTCAAATGTCTTTTCACAGGATGGATGACTTCACAAAATTCAATGTATTATTTCAAAGCGTTACACATAAATGAATAAAAAACAATAATAGTTTGGGTTTAGCTCCAGCATCAGTACTTGTAGTTGCATTTATTGCATCAAACATTTAATTAGCTGAGTTGCTAAACATAGATTTAAAAACAAAATCTTTGGTACGTAATGAATTTTCAAACTCTACCATTTTCATTTCTCTGTGGATTTTGCTGACGAGTGACGGAGCAATGAATCCTGGGATACTGTTGGCCACGCAGAATTTTTGTTTTCCAGGGTTTTGTGGGCTGCATTTTTCAGTTGCATGAGTAGGAGCCCACAAAGTGGGATAGTCTTTGGCACAATGCATTGATGTAACTGGCCTGCAGATGTGCACTACAAGGGCTGCAGCACCTGAAGTTAGACACGGACTAAATAATTTTGCCCTCATAAATGTTTAAATGCTATTGCCTGAAAAAAGAGACAAAGATTCATTTACAGAAAATAAATAAAACGTTTTGTTTCCTAACACACATTCTGCGCACTAACACAGCATGCAGGCACTTTGTTTAAAGTTTTGCCAAAATCCATTCTGAGTGAACTCTTGCCTGCCATTAGCAAGATAGCTCACCTTATGATATCTCTTGAGACTGTGTGTCACATTAATTTCAACAGTTGTTAACGTAAGAGGATTTTAGATTAAAAACAGTTGGCGATAAGCATTCCTACAATGAAAGATAGGCCCACGTTATTCAATTGATCTTTTCACTAGCTGATATTAAACTAAGTAGTCACAAACAGTAGCAGCTCATGAGCATAAAAGTTAGTGGGCGGACATTGTTTTCCTAAATCAATATAAACACGATGTTACAATTTGCGGCATGTTTTCTGAAAAAAATAAAAGCTACGTTACTCAATCAGTTATTTGTGCACAAAGATGTCATCTTTTTTCTCCCTCATTATCTCGTAAAAAAAAAAAAAAGGTCTGGACATTAAATAAGCAAAAAACCTCCCCCCCAAACTTATTTAATTGTTGGAGAAATTGATCAGACAGGTAGCTGCACAGCTTTCTGGATTCGATTTCTAATCAAATTTTGAGTAGGCCTAATATTCTGCAAAAAACCCCTCCAGATTAACAAAGTTAAATGGGTACAAGATGTTTTGTGAAATAAGTTTAAATATGAAAATTTAAAAAAAATACGGTGAACTATGCATCCTCCATGGACATAAGTAGGCTAATATGATTAAATGGCCATTCAGAATAAAAATGTGCCACGTAAACACTTCATCTGATCATCTGATCACACACGTCTTCTGAATTTCATCCACCAGTTTCTCCTGCAGCAGCACAGAACTTGTCATCATGTTCTCTCATCCGATAAACAAGGAAGACAAACAAATTGTGTTGCTCCCCCCCACCACACACACACACACACACACACACACACACACACACACACACA